CCGCAGCTGCCCTGCTCTCTGCAAGAGCTTTGGAGCACTGGGCCGTCCTCGGGACCGCGTGGTGCCTGTGCTGGTGCTGGTGTGTGCTCAGGTGCACCGGGGAGTTGGACCTCTCGTCTGTGTCCTTGCTCGGTGTTCACAGCAGCTCCCTCAGGTGACACACGGGAACACAAGCGCTGTGCGTGTCCGGAAGAGCTGGAACCCTGCAGGAGGAGGATGAAGGCATGAAGTGCAGTACCTCACCCTGCCTGGCTTGGAGTAGCCAGATCTGTCCTAAGAGAGCATCCTAAACAGACCCAGGTGCAAAAGGAAATCTCTCCTAGCTTGCTCCTCCTCATGGGAGAGAAGAGAAACTCTTCTGGTAGGCTCAGGGTGCTCAGTTGTGATTTGGTCTCTACTTCAAATCTTCGCTACTGTTTGACAGTACTGTTTTACTGTCTTTTTTGCTTGTAAAAATCCTGGGGGATGGTGGACTCCGCTTGGGGTACCCTTAAAATGAAGGAATGGAGTCCCTATGAGTCAAAGCTGGTATGTATCAAAGAACCTCTCATTTATTCTCAAAACWACTACATAAAGTTCCAAAGAATTTCATCCTAGTAATCAAACCATGAAAAGTGTGTTCTTGGGGTTATTGGGAAACAGTATTGCTGCCTCTCTTCAGGAATATGAATAGGGACAAAGATGTGGCAGAGAACCTGAGCAGGAATGAAAATTAACTTCGCTTGGCCTGGGAGCAAATTGATTTTGAAAAGTTGTGTACTGGGTGTGAAACTAGAACACCGTGCTGAGTGTTGCAACTGATCTCCAGGGGTAACTTATTTAGGGATTCGCAGAAAGTGYTTTGTATTTTGCTATGGCACATCCATAATTCATTTAATTCAGACAGATCTCTAGAAGTGAGTCAGATGATGATTCAATTATTTTGAGCACAAACAGCCTCCAAAGTGTCATCATCAGTGTTACCCACAGCAGGGCTCATAAACCGAGGCTGCTCTTGTCCTGCTGCTCTAGGAAGCTGTTCTGCAGTTGAAACTGAGGAACCTTTAACCGTGGCTAAGATTTTAACCCATGTCTCTGACCCAAGGTGAGTCTATAGAAAGCCGTTCATGGTGCCAACATGCCTTCTGATTGAGGGAATGGCTTTGAGACGTGTCTGCAGATGTGTTTTGTGAGGGTATTTTTGTGTAARGGCTTCTGAGAAGCCTTCAGAGATGAGAAGAGTGGTAGTAGTGGTGAAGGAGGCTCAGTTATTCGCGTTGTATTATGACATGAAAGAATTTCAGTCCCTCTAAAACTAGAACATGAGGGGGATGAAAAGGAAGGGATTTAAGAATGGACATTTATGGTATAATCTGTCAAACTCGCGGCTGGAAGGGTTTGAAAAGATGTAGGCTCAGAGGGGGTGAAGTGAGAGACCTTTCCTGAAGTTTAAGTATCCTGGAAATAACGTTAAATGCTGTTTAAATTSACTTGTAATATAAAATAGGTTACTACAGTGTATGCTTTTTTAATGTATATTAGTTCAGACTTCTAAAAAAAATTTTTAAATCTTTTTTTTTTTTTTTTCCAAGTACTGGACATGAGAGCTGTCAAAACACTTAGTCACACCATTCTGGAACATCCAGTACCTCTGTAACACATTTTGAGGGGACACAGTGGAGATGGGCAAGAGATTACYCCTTGTGGAGCATTGTGTAAAAGTTTCGTGTGTTCTAACAACTCAGACTGTGTTTTGGTAGAAAGTTTAAAAAGAAGACAAAAAATAGACAGAAGGTCTCCAAGGACACGTTCAGCCTCAGCTCCATGAAACAGAAAAGTGAGAAGGTGCCCTTTTCATTTACTGTCTCTTGTAATGTGGATGTGTAACAGCTAAAGGCTGTAGAGTACAGGAGAACATCCCTAGGTTTCACTGTGGGTGCTTGGCAGAAGACACTGAGCTGGTAGGACTTTCAGGGGTGATTTAGCATTGCAGGGCATAGGAGCTTCTCTGGCTGTTCCATGTGGCCTGGTGTCACGAAGCCTTCCGTGATATTTTAACAAGTCAGGTCACATTAACCATAAACTTGCATTTGTGTCTAGCCAGGGATCTCTGTATTGCACATCTCAAACAGGCAGGAGATTGATGGGATAAGCTCATGGGCAGGAGATGAGCCAAGATCCCCAGAAGCTTCCTGGTGCCAGTAGCAGCGAGTGTCCCTCACCTGCAGCCGTGTCCCCAGCCAGGCCAGCAGTGCCACCCTCTGCCATCCGTGCCGAGAATGGGGGTTCCCGGGCAGTTCCTGTTGCCAGGGCTTGTTTGCTGTTGGTCGGCTGGAGTACCTGGCATTGAGCAGCTCAACCCAGGCTCAGCTCAAAAGCTGCACTTGGGCTGCTCCTGACCTAGGGGTTAACAGACTCATTAGGAAGGTCAAGAACCATTTGCAAATAAGTCATTGAGCTCCTTTTTGGTGCCTGATTTGCAAGCGGTGCCTACTAATTAGTTGTGACAAGCAAAGGGGAGAGGCTAGGGATAAACATGAGTTGTTTAATAATAAGAATAATAACAAAGGTGTGTGTAGCAACAAAACTTCTCTTTGTAGAAAAATGCTTATATACTGGCGTGGTGGAGTCAAAGACAAGAAAGTTTGTGAATATCTGAGAAACCAAACTGTAAATATCTGAGCCATAATACTGCTAGAAAAGCCCTTGATTGTGGGAGCCCATTAGGGCACAGTATGAACTAGAGGCTGCGTTTTCAGTAGGTCTCTCAGCTCAACAGTGAGTGGTGCCCGTGGCTCCCGCTGGCGTTGCCGTCTGCCCCCACAGCCATGAGAGTGGGAAGGGTTGGGGTCCCACTGGGTCCAGCTTTGCACATTCCCCAGCTTTAACTGGGAATCCACACAGGGTTTTTTTCCTCTTTTGAGGAAAAAACTGTCTCTGAGATTTCTTTTTTCCCCCTCTCTCCATTAAAAGGATATTTCTCCAGCTGTGGTTCCTGGGCTGATTCCTGGAGGGCCCAGGAAAGAACCCAGCTTTCTGGCACGGGCTCGAAGGCAATGCAGATTTACCACAGCCTCTACTCAGGCTGAATCACAATGATTCAATACAGAAACCTTTTAGAAAACAGTTTAAAAATACGCATTTATGGTTTCTCCAATAAAAGGTTTCGAAAAGAAGGTGCAGTACCTTTAGCAGCAATCAAGGGGTTTTTTTTTCTAATAAAAGAAAGAAATCTGGAATAGAATATAGGATCAATTAAATGTTCCCACTCTTTCATGCATGGCTAGAAATGCTCTGAACCATTGAATGGCTCTGTGCTTGGTGGCGTGCAGGTTTGTCTCAAATGAAATGTGTGGTTCGAGTATTAATTTTGTATAAAAAATAGTATAGTTTTTTTTTTTCCTGTGCTTATGTGTAGGAGAAATTATATTGGGAGCTGTGTGTGTTTTCCCCCCAAACTTGGGTAGTTTATTTTGCGAGAGCAAATGCATTTTCTATGTAAGAGAGCGAGAGGCTCGTGGGGGAGTTCCAGTATTTTTAGGTCACTGCTAGGAAATTCTAATATAGGATTCAGCAATAGGTTATAATTTAATAGGTTATAAAAGGTTAATGTTGATAGATAATATTCCTACCTGATAGGAGGAGGTTTTGGGTTTTGTTAAAAAAAATGATGTTCATACCCCAGGAAAAAACACAGTGAAGTGAAAATGTGTTAAAAACATTCCAAGGTTTTTTTTTTTTAAGGAAAAAATATATTTTGAGGACTTAAGGTATTAGCACTCTTTTTAAAGGGAGAAAAAGAGGAGATACTGATTTTTGACAAGTATATAAGGGTTTCTTTTTTGCTGTTGTCTGACTTGCTCCTTTCTCTAGAAATATCCATCCTCCTTGATTTTGCTAAAGTATTTGTTTATGGTCATAAATGTTTAGTACAATCAGATTTTGCTGTCACATATAGCAGGCTTTTAGGTTGGTATAAAAAACCAGTTTCTGTTTTTCTCCACACTGTAGTTTACTGAAGCTTTAAGTGAAGCTTTACGTTCTGTAGACTTGCCAAGCAGCTCTTTAAATGGAGACGCCCAAGAGCACTCGGTTGCCCCGTTTGCTTCTCCAGGGGCTTTAGGTGTGTCACGTTTTCCTGGCTTTCCACTCTCGTGCAGYGCTCCAGGCCGAACAACGAATGGCTCCGCAGGGCAGCCCTCCAGCAGCAGCCTGCCGACCCGTTTGGGTCTCCTTACAGGTTTTCCTTACAGAGCCCGGAGCGGCCCTGGGGACCGGCAGCCCTTGGCGCTTGGTGCCCGGGCGCTTGCCGAGGGCGCGGGACGGCGACATCTCGCGCCCTTGGTCGCTGATGAACCCCGTCTGGCCCGGCGTGATTCGCTTCCTGTAGTTGGGGTGGTGGGTGATGATGGTTTCTTGTAAGCGTGGTGCTGCTGCTGGGGTGATAGGGAAGGCGCTCCGCAGAAGGCGGCTAGTCCCRCGTGGTGCTGTTCCTTGCCTTGTGGTGGCACCTCTCCTTGGGAGCTGCTGCCTTCCTTTCTGCACATGGGAGATGAGACCATGTGTGGTCTAAGCTGAAGCTTAGTAGTCATCCTCTGGCATCATCCTGTGGCATCAGAGTCTGAGTGCCAAGCTACAGCATGGATATAAGGGATCATCCACCGTGTGTCCTGAAAGTTATCTTCACACTTGAGACTTCTAAGATGAACTTCTCCACATTTCTATAAAAAGCACTTCTCTCCAAGATGAAAAACTGTAGGTGAGGGAATCACGGACCCCTTTAAACCCCCTTTTGCTGCTGCAAGATGTTTAGATGCCTCTTTTTTGAAAATATTCTGGGATTTTTTTTTATTTTTTTATTTTTATTTTTTTATTTTTTTTTTTTTTTTGTAGAGGACAAAGGGGCAGGGAAGCTTGTGGAAAGCAGATCAGCTATGACATGAACAAATAAGAGAAATGTTGTCAGGTTGCACTCAGAAATTCATTGTTGTGTTTATGTATTCCTTTAACTGCATTTCCAGGTCTTCCCATTATTCTATGGGCACTCGAGCATTTTCCCATGACAGCATTTTTATACCTGATGGGAGAGCAGAGAGCGAGCAGGCGATCCAAGCAATGTCACAGGAGAACATTCTAGGAAAAGTCAAAACTCTTCAGGTAAGAAATTATAAGGATTATGAATATTTAACATGTGGTGGTAAATGGGCTCTAGAGCTCTGGGATGGATAACTATGGATAAAGGTGGGGTTTTTGTTCAACCACCTTGGGACCATTTCTTAGCCATGCAAGTAATCCCAACAATTTGTAGGTCTAAGCTGTAATATTGCAAGGTGTGGTGGTGATTCTGCAAGGAAATCTCCATAAATGCCTTTAGTGTATCCTAAGAGCTCAGGAATGTTATTCCTTTGATTTGTCCGTGACTCACTTAGGAATCTGCCATTAAAATAATGGAGTAAATTTCATGGTATTTTTCATCTTCCATAACACCCAACAAATACTGTCTGCCAGGTTCTTTCTCTCCAAATGAAAACCAGGCATCATCTGCAATGCACCCACTGCATCTTCCTGGGACACCACGCAGCAGGTTTCTCCTGTGTTAGGTGGACTTAATGCAAACATCATGTCTCCTGCTTTTTCTCTCTGCATTTTCCCAGGCTTTTGCATGTATTTTTTTCCTCCATTTTCCCTGGGTTTTTGCATGTATTAGAAAAAAAACAGTGGGTTCAAAATCACGACATAACTTTAGGATCTCCCTTTTCAGTGCTGGCAATGGTGCTATTTCCTGCCCCTTTACATCCTGTTCTTTTCTGTTGTTGTTTTCTGCAAACAGATGGGGTTTGCTGCCTTCATTCTGCACTTGCAGGGATTCTCATCCCCAGCACTAGAAATCTGTGCGCGCTTCAAGTCCATTCCTGCCATCTCGCACCTACGGGGAGCATTTGTACCTCGCATCGTGGGGAGGGGGACAAGGAGGGGACACTCATCCCTTGCGGAGCGCATTCCCTTCCTGTGCATTCCGGAAAGGCAGCCTGCGGTCAGCTCCAGCAAAGCCGCAGGCCGTGGCCGCCCACATGCCCGTGGTTTTGCCCACGCRTGTGCGTCACGGTGGATGCCAGCACTTCCAGGGTCAGCTCACCTGGCAAGATGCTCCTCAGCAAAGAAATGTCACCAGGATTCAGCGCTATTTAATGCTGATCATGCCAGGTCACAGACGTCCTTTCCCATTTTTTTGGCTCCCTGTTGTAGAAAATCCTTCCCTCCTTCCCTGCCTGCCTTCTTCCATGCCTCCTTCCCTGCCTGCCTTCTTCCGTGTCTCCTTCCCTGCCTCCCTGCAGCTGCAGCTCCCAGGTCCCCAGGCCTGTCCAGCCCCCACAGGTGTTATGGGCCGGCTCTGGCTCCGGCCTTGTCCATCTAGGAACCAGCCCGCTCCCTGTTTCTAGTTCTTGGTCAAATTTTAGACCCCTGAGTCATCTGTTGCTACTTTTCATCCTGGAATCTTCTTCTGCATATAGATTTTCTGAATTTCTGTAGAGAATTACATATCTCTACAGCCCCTCTGCCATTCCATGCTCTTTCCCACTCCCAGCTGCACTCCCAGCTCTTTGCTGGCCCAAACCAGGCACGTTGCTTCAGCACTAGAGCCCAACACTTCCCTCTTGTGCCTTAGGCCAACACGTGTGATAATACTGCCCCGTACAGGATTTACCCCTTTTCAGGTAGTCCAACATTGTTATTTTTTATCTGGTTTACATTCTAAAGCCTCCAAAATTACTTTTTTACAATGTGCTTTCCAAGTTATTCTCTCTGACTAAAAGAAGAATTGCCTGTTTGCAGTGTTGTGCTAATTTAGATATGCTGCAAATTGCCTGTTCAGACAAAGATGGGGAGCAGCTTCCATGAGGAGAACAGCTATGTAAACTGTCTTTTCACCTTGGAAAAGAAATGATGGGGAAGGGAATATAATAGAGAGGCATAAAATTGTGAGTGGAATTGGAGAGGTGAATAGAGAACAATTATTCAATCTTTCTCAGCTGGAGAACATGGGGACATCAATTAAAACTAGTAACAGGTTTAAGCCAAAAGAAAAAGATATTTCTTTTTATAATTTATAGTTGGTAAAGCACCTTGCCGTAGAGCATTGTGGTGAGTGAAACATTTATAGCAGCTCAGGAAGCATGGAGACAAATTCATAATGGAAAAGTCCCTAAATGACCATTGAATTCAAAACAAATTTCTGGAGTTTGCAGGTGAGGTCTTAGACTTAGCAGTTTGCTAGTTCTTGGGTAAGTATTTATTATGCATTCATTATTTCACAATTATATATAACTATATGACTAGAAGACAGAATTTAAATATGTGGGCATTGCAAGCATACCTGAGAAAATAGACATCTGAATGGAAGGCAAAAATATTACCCATGGCATTTTTTGTAACACTTGTTTGAATAGAAACAGCCAAGTAGTGCAGACTGCTATTTTGACTTTARACTGGACGCAGTGAGCTCCTTCCCAGGTTTGGATCCACTCCAAGCACCAAGGACCCTGTGATTCCAGGGGTTGAATCCAACATGTGCGCGGAAGGGGAGCCATATGGGAGGGGAAGAGGAGCCGCGTGGTCCGGGCTGCGCTCGCTGCCGGCTAGGAGGGCAAGTTTGCTCCGTGGCATTTCCTGTGCGGATACAGAGGGCGCTTTGGAAAGCACAAGCTCTTTGACTTGCAGAATAAATGTGTGATTGGGAATTGCCCTGGGATGCAACGTGAGGGCCGTTGGCGAGAGCAGCTCCCGTGGTGCTGCCCRGGCTCCGGCTCCACGCTCTGCGGCGGCTCGGAGGGCCGCGGCCCGGGCCTGGCAGTGCCCGGCGGGAAGCGGGACTGGGTGCTGGGTCTGGCTGCGCGGCGCCCCAGGGCCCCCATGACATGACCGGGGCGCTGCCGGGCACCTGGCACCTCCCCTTGCCAGCGCCATGGACCCTTTCCAGCCTTGGAGACAAAAGGAGAGGGAGGCCTGGCCTGGGACGCAGCTGGGGATGTTGCTCGGGAGCTCCTCTGCGCGGGTGGCCGTGGCAGCCGCCCCTTCGTGCTGCCGTTTGGCTGCTCAGAATGGGCTGTGGAAGCAGCCTGGGCACTGGCTGCAGCCTGGGGCTCCGGCAAAGCCTGGGGGAGCTGGGGCAGCTTAGCAGGAACTGCAGGCCCCAAACGTTCAGCTCCTCCTTCTGGGAATAGCTGGCAAGCTGACTTGGAGACAGGCTGGTGATTGGGGCTGCCCCATTTCAAGCCTTCTCATAGAAACCAGGAGACCAAGTCCAYTTAACTGTGAGCAGTATCCAGCTGTGGCGATTCCTGCGAGGGTATCCAAACATCCTGTGTGTGATTGCATGTGGGTAGCAGTGGCAAACATGACATTTTACTCTTCTRATAGTTGGAGTCGCAGGTAATCCTCCTTAGGCCACCGTCATCCATGGGCTGTCAGCACGGGGAATTTTCAGCCGTTATAGTCCRTGGTCAGGAATATGTGTCTAAAACTTCCGAAGAATTTTAAACAGATGCTGTACATTGAGTCTATTCTCTGCGGCCCCGCAGCTTAATTTCATGCATCTGTCCATTTTTGGATTAGACACTGATCTGTGAACTTTCAAGCAAAACCTTTGTGCTTTTAATTTTTTCTGGGTTGCATTTTTAGGGGTTTTATGATTTAAATGCTTTTTTTTTTTTTTTTTTTTGAAAGAGAGGGAGAGAGGACAATTGCCCTATAGTTAGAGTAAAAGGACGTTTCAAAAAGAACAAAGCAGGTTTTAAACCACTTGGAAACAATAAGAATGAATTTGCTCTGTGGTAACAGTAAGTTAGTTGAGATTTTTACATTTAGTATTCAACAGTGGCCTTGGAGATTAAATGCACTGAAAAAAAAAGGACCAATGTAAATTAGTAACTCTATTAATAGAGTTTATTTAATTAAGATAGATTTGTTCTAAAATGCTGGTAATAAATACTTRAAGAGCCTTGTGTACAGAAGGAATATGAAGATTTGCAAATCTTCAGCGTTGAAACTAATTTACGCACATCTGAGGAAAAAACAAATCTTTAATGTTTTGAAATAATTTTGAAGACTGCATACAGTTCAGAAACAATTGCAAATATTCTGTTTCCTGGAAATACCAGGAAAATGATCATTTTAGCATTTTTGAGCATATATAAATATACAGCACAGGCCTCAAGCAGCCTAGACCTCAGTTAGAAAAGCTGCTCTTTCTGAAGTGTGTGACTGTTCTGTGCAATAGCTCCGTTCACGTGCACCTCACCATTCATTCACCAGCAGTAGGGTAGCAGCAAATCAGGTGAACAAGCCACCATTCCTTCTTCCAAAGCRCATTTCAAGCAATAAATACATGGGTGTGTGTTCTGAGCATGGGGCACGTGCTGAAATCCTCRGTCTCTTTGAGCAGTTGCTCGGCCCGTTTTGGCAGTTGCCGTTTTCTGCCTGGGAGAACCACTTGCCTAGGAATGTGCCTAGGAGTGTGAGGATGAAGAGAGAGGAGCCACCTCAAATTGGAAAGCACCTTATGAAGTTCGATGTCGAGACCTGCCAGGGGCRTGGGGATATCATGGATAAACTTTACATAGGGGTCCAATCCACTGTGCAGTGGTGGCACCCAAGACTGTCCTGCCCTGAGCCCTGTCAGAGTTCTACCCACTGCCATTAAAAGGTTTATTCCCCAGCAGCTCCTTGCCCAGGGTGTGATACCAGTTCCAGCACACAGGGAAGAAGAAATGTCCTTGTTTTACAGAACAGCTCCTGTAAATCCTCTGCACTTCTCCAAGGGAAATTCCTGGTGGAGTCTGGGTGTGTAGCTGGCGTCGCGTAGGGCAGATCCTGATCCAGATCCTGATGTGTACGTTGCTGAGCCAGAGGTGCTCACAACAACAAAAGGCAGAGTTGGGAGATCCCCCTGGAGAACTTGCTCTCCTTGGAAGAGACTAAGGCAGGAGAATTTTCGAGAGAATTTAGCTCTTGTGCTATAAAGATATTTACTTTCACAGACTTGGTGGTGTGCAGCCCAGCATTATTCAAGGCTGCAATCTCCTCAGATCGTTTACCTGCTGGCAGATACTATATGCTCTTTTCTTGTTCATCACTGATGCAATTCAAGAGTATTTTCTTGTGACGCTTAGGAGATGACTACAAGGGAAATATGTGGCGTGGAAGCTCCGAAGCTCTTTTATCCATAGACGTCCTGGAACACCCGTGAATAAACCTTCTTGTGCAGAGGTGGTGATGAGGCAGCCACAAGAGCTGCTGCAGGTCGGGCAGTTCCTGTGAGCTCCAGTGTCTCAGAGAAGCTGGGCTTCCCTCCCTGAGAATGTGGCCCTTTAAGGCAAGCATGTGGCAGACACTTCACATCTAAAACCTGGAAGTGAGCTTCACTATAGCAATACATGATATAAGGAAAGYGTTAACATAGGAACCTAGATTAAAAAGGCAGCGCGCGCCTCCAGCTGGGCTCCTGTCCAGAGCCCCAGCATCTGCACGGGGAGAAAGGGTGCACCGTTAGACTTGGCTTATTCTGTTCGTAATTTAAATACCTCTTGTTTTTGTTCTCGTTTTTCAGCAACAGTTGGCCAAGAATATTAAGTTTGGGCAGCCCCCACAAATGACAGTTTCTATGAGGACAACGGGGGAGGCAAACGCCAGCGTCGAAGAGGATCTGCTGCTCGGTGCCCCCATGGAGGTTGACACTGAGCAGGTCACGGCGCTGCCAGACGGTGGCAATAAAGTGAGTGCTTCAGATGGACCTGTTCCCGGTGTCCCGGGGCTTGGCGGGGCATCCAGCGGCCGAGCGCCRCTCCGGGCTCTGCTCCGTGCCTGGGCGCTCTGGCTGGGGCTCTCAGACCATCAGGGAATAGAAGCTCTTGGCGTCCTGAGCAGGACGCTACGAGCCAGCGGTTTGAACGTCTGCTCTGAGCATCCAGCTGAGCAGACAACGCTCACAGCGAGCCTGGAGGACAGGGATTTATGTCAGACGGAAGAATTCTGTGGATTTCCCAGCATGGGAGGCTGTGTGCAGCACAGCATGACACAACCAAAAATCCTTCCAAAATGAGAGGGGCTGGAGCCTAAATCAGTAAAATAATTGGTTCCAGAGCAAGCATCCGCCTTCTCGTGGAACAGAAGCTTAAGAACAAACATGGGAAAAAAGTACTTTATAAATATCCGTGAATCCAAGTGTCTGGTGTAACTGAGGTAGTGATCCATAGAGCTACCCATACCAGGAGCTACAGACACTCCGGAGCCYGGAAGGGCTTGTTGAGATAGCGCAGGAGCACAGGTAGTGCTGATACTTGTCTAGAAATCCCCTAAGGGTGTTGTCGTGGCCCAAGGGAATCGGGGAGCAGAGGGGAACGGAGAAGGGCTCCAAGGAAGCTGCCTGTGCCCGTTGCCTCTGCACAAGTGGCCCGAGAGCCCAGGCGCCGTGTGGAGCCCCTCGCGTCCTGCAGGGACACACGGGCCTCAGCCCGTGCCCATGGCACCACGGCTGGCTGGCGCTCCAGGGGTTTCTCCATTGGTTTTGCTGTGACAGAAAATAATGTAAAAAATGCATTAAATATAAAGAAATATATTTATGACATATATTTATTTGCATATGGAATATGTTTTCCATATGTAAATTGCACGATTCTACAAGTTCTTCGAATGGGTTTGTTGGATCTTTCACACACTGATATTGGGCTGTGGTAACCTTGTTTTCTAGTCAATTGATACTGCAGATCTGTTGAGGACTATGAATCTGCCTGGAGCAGGACACGAAGTGGAAGCAAAGGTAGGGAATCTTTCATGCTGGGCCTGTTCTGAATGCCTTTCTGATTTAAAACGTTAGAGGTTTAACAGTCGCTTTTTACTGTGACAYCCATTTCGTTGTTTCATTTTCATCCAAAGCCCCTGTGAACGTTGTTGTTTTGGGTCTGCAGCAGCAGCTAGGCAGCGAGCAGCAAGTAGGGCTGAGGAGCCTGTCCTGCCTGGAGGGCTGTGCAGGAAGCTGAGCCCAGCTCAGTGGGTGCAGGTCCCGCAGCATTCCCGCCTTGCATTTATTAATCACAGAGCCATAATTTTCATAAGTACTTCTCATACTTTGTTTGCCAACATGTAATTCAGGAAGTGTATGCAAAATATTCCATCAGCTTTTTAAGTGATTGGTTCCCTAATTTGCATGTATTTAGCCTCCGAAGATGACGGAGCTGTCTTGCAAACAGTGTACGTGCAGTTGGGCCCCTGCACGGGGTGTTCTCTCCGTGCTGTTTCTGTAGCTGCCTTTCCCGCTTGGCTCGTGCCAAGCACGGTGCGTGGGGCGCCCGCTGCAGCCGCCCTGCGCAGCACAAGAGAGCGCCCCAGCCAGCTGGCTTTTGCTGTCCTGCTCTCCCTGGTGCTCGCCTGGGCAGCTCCCGTTAAGCAAACTTTGAAATGTCTTAGGGACGTTGCTGACAGCTCCGTCTTTGCCCTGCTCATTCCCAACAACTTCAGAGTGGAACTGAAGTGCTGCCCCCCCMAAAAAAAAGATTGTTACAGTGATCCAAGTAAGTAATTTAAATTTTAGCTGAAAAGTATGAAAGTGTGTGGTGCTGGAAACAGGAAACTGTTACAGCCCTAACTTTCATGACTAATGTCACTGATTCCTACAGTGGGATTTGGAAATTGGATTTGAAATCTTCTCTGCTAATAACCACTTTTGAATTCAAAACTGCAAAGGTTTGACTATCTATTTTTTAAATGAAACAAAAAGCTTGGTAATAACTTGTCTGTGTTTGTGATGCAAACAGGTCGCCCCAGTCAAATCGTCTCGGCCAAAAAGACAGTTTTCCTGCTCGGGCACAATTGAAACGATCAATTTGGATGCGGTTCCCCAGGCGGTTGCTCGTCTGGACAACAGTGCAGCTAAACACAAGCTGTCAGTAAAGCCAAAAAAGCAGCAGATGTCAAGAAAACACAGGAGATTAACAAAGGTACCGAGCTGCYGGTCACCCCTGGATACTTGAAGCTTAAAGAGTGGGATTCTAAGTCACAGAACAGAAACTTGGGGCCTGTTCCTTGGGCTTCCATCCGCATGGCGGTGGCAGCTCTCTGCCTGCCTTAGTTCATGGATATCTAATGGTGATCCATTACTGAGCATTATATTTTTATCACTCTTGCAGTGGTTTAATTTTTTTTTAAAGGACATCGTTCCAGTAAGTTTGTGTCATGGGTGGGTGTCTGTAATGTACTGTGATGTAACATAACATAAACTGGAATATGATGCCTCGGAAATGATATTATTGTAAAAAGAAAAAAAAAYAGTAGAATACAAAGTAACAGCAGACTTGTCTCCCCACTGTAGGGATCACAGAGTTTAACAGTAACAGAATTTGAGCCAGAGGATCTAGACCCTGAGCTGTACACAGAAAGGTACCCAGCTTACATCACAGCAGACAGGCTCATCCAGAACAAAGATGAACAGAGGGAGCTTCAGCTGGCAGAAAAGAGGAGAATCGAAGATCACTGGGGGATCTTTGAGGCCGAAAGGATAAGGCAGATTGTAGAGATGGAGGAACAAAGAGAAATGGAAGAGCAGAGGTGCCAAGAACTTGAGCAGTTGCAGAAAGAGCAGGAAAGGAGGCCTTGCGAAGAGGAGAGCCAGCAGCAGCTCCTGGAAGCAGAGACATCTTTGAAAACTGAGGAGCWAACACACGAGGAAGAGGAGAGACGACGCCAGGAAACACTCCAGGAGGAGGAGAAGAGGCACGAGCTGGAGCAGCAGAGGCACAAGGAGCTGGAGAAGCATCAGAGGCAAAAGCTGGAGGAGGAGAAGCGCCAGGAACTGGAGGAGCAGCAGAGGAGAGAACTCGAGGAGCAGAAGCAGCGGGAACGGGAGCTGCAGAGGTGCAGGGAGCTGGAGGAGCAGCAGAGACAAGAGCTGGAGGAGCAGAAGAGGCTAGAGCTGGAAGAGCTGAGGCAACATGAGATTGAAAGGCAGTGTCAAGAAGAACAGCAAAAACATCTGGAGGAACAAAAAGAGCTGGAGGAAGAGAACAGGCAAGAGAAACAGAGACAAGAGCTGGAGAAAGAGCTGCAAGAGGCTGAAGTGAGACTGGTGGATGAGAAAGAGGCCGAGACCGTCAAACAGCAAGAGAAACCAGAGGAACAAAGGCAGCATTTGAAGGAGGAAGAAGGAGAAAAGATGGAGGAGGAGCAACCCCAGCAAGTGCTGGAGAAGCAACAGAAACGGGAAGAGCAGAGAAAACATAAGCTCACCAAGCAAATGCACATGGAGAGTGAAGACAGTGTGCAGCAAGATGGACTGGGGAAGCAAGAGGAGCCAAAGGAACAAGAACAGAGCAAGCTGGAAGAGCAGAAGATAGATGCAGAAGGACAAAGTCTTCAGGAAAAGCAACAAGAACAAGAGAAATCCTTAGAAGAACAACAGGACAAGGATCTTCTGTCTTGTGGAGGAGCTGACCAGCACCCAGTAGAGGAGAAGCTCCAAGAAGACTCAAGACCCCAGAACATCAAACAGCCAGAGAAAGAGAATAAAACAGCGGAGGAAATGCTAGTCCAGAAACTGAAGAGAGAGGTTGAGGCCCAGGAGCAGAAGCGACTAGGGGAAGAGCTGAGGTGGCAGGAGGTGGATGAAAGGCAGACTGCATCCCGATCCTTCACATTCCAGGTRTCTTCTGGGGAGAAGCAGATCCTGTTCCAGAAGGTGAACCTGAGCCCCGTGGTGCCYGGCAGGGCCGCGGGGCTCCCGGCCTCCCCCAGCAGGGAGCACAGGGCCCTCGCCTGCACCAGGGGCTCCCGCACGCTGCCCTCCTCCGGGGGCGTCCCGCACACGGCCATCCTGGTGACCGGAGCGCAGCTCTGCGGCGCCGCCGTCAACCTGAACCAGATCAAGGACACGGCCTGTAAATCGCTGCTCGGTTTGGCCGAGGAACGCAAACCCGTGGACGTGCCCTCGCCGGAGAAGGCCCCGAGAAGGGCGCCGGAGCCCAGGGCCGGCAGCGCCAGGACGAGGCAGGCGCAGGAGGCGCTCAGCAGCCAGGCCATGCTGGCCGAGTGGGCCTCCATCCGCTCGCGCATCCTCAAGAGCGCCGAGAGCGGCAAGTACGGCGAGAAGGAGCGGGGCGGCGCCTGCCGGCACAGCGACGACTGGAGCCCCCGCGGCCGCGGCGCGCCCCACGGCAACCTCAGGAAGACCCTGTCCGCAAACGCCAAGTTCTCCATCACGCCGGCRTGGCAGAAGTTCGCAGAATCTTCAAAAACCAGCCCAGACACTGAGGGAGCGAGCGCGGCARCGGGCAAAGAGGCGGTGACCGCGGGGAGAGGCGCCGGCTCATCCGCCGGCCCCGGTGGAGAGGGYGCTCTTAAGGATAACACGCCTGAAGCGGCAAAGGAAAAGTCGGAAGCCCCTAGCGAGGTGACAGACAACACAGAGGGCTGTAAATTTGCAAAAGATCTTCCATCTTTTCTTGTTCCAAGTTTTCCTCATTCTCCAGGCAAAGAATCRTCTCAGGCAGAGTTGCCAGGTGCTTTGGAAAATCAGCAGAATAACAGCACAAGGAAAGCAGATAAAGCAACACCAAATGGAGAAGAAAACTCTTCTCCTTTCGGAATTAAGTTACGGAGGACAAACTACTCTCTGCGCTTCCATTATGATCAGCAGGTCGAGCAGAGGAAAAAGAAAAGGTACAGCGCCGGGGACAGCTTTGACGGGGTGCCCGACCCGCTCGTTGCAGCCGAAGGTGAGAAAGACTCGGCCGTGTTTGCAGCGCAGGGGAGCGCGTCGCCGGGAGCAGCAAGGGCAGCTGCTCCTGGGGACGTGAAAGACCTGAAAGAGCCTCGAGCCGCTGCGATGGAGCCGGCGCCGCCAGCGGCCGCCCCGGCGCCCGCAGCTGCCCCCGCTCCCGAGAAGCTGCCGGGCAGGGCGCTGGGCGCCCAGAAGCCGGCGCTGGCCCCCAAGCCCAGCAGCCAGACGCCGCCGGCCTCCCCTCTCTCCAGGCTGAACAGGTCGGGCTTGGCGGACGCCCCGGGGCCGAAGCTGGTGAAGGCCGAGTCRGACGGCGGCTGGAAAAGGGAAGGCAGAGGCAGCGCAGCGCCCGCCGCCGCCCTCAGCGCCTGCAGGAGCGAAGAGGAGGAGACCAGGGAAAAGAAATCGTTCTTCCCGTCTTTAAGTATCCCATGGAGAGAAAGGAATGACAAAAAGCCCGAGCCACTGAAAAAAGGTGGGTGCTTTGGAAAGGCCCTTTAACTGTTGTCTGTGTCTCCAGGATGGGATATGGGCATCCAGAAGTGGAAATTTGGTGTTCAACTATCATAGTTGCTCGGTGTGTTACTTGTGGAGAGCCAGCGCTTTGCTGGGGTTGTGCAGATGAGTAGGGTGTCCCCTTCCCATAGCCTCATTCACAGAACCTCAGCCCTAAAGGAATTTAGGAATTCCTAAAGGAATTCCTAAAAGGAATCTGTGGGCAAATCCTGTACCCAGTACAGCTGGCCACAGGGCACCAGCAGCAGAACAATCCAAGGGCCGCACTGGCGCCGCCAAGCAAGGCTGGAAGCCCAGGGCACCTCTGCGCGAGTTCTGYGCCCCAGGAACAGAGCGCTCTCGTAGGCACAAGGTTACCCAGCAGAAGGTTTCAGTGTTTAATTGGGAATCCCATTTCTTCCATTCCTGACTTCTGCAAACCTTTAAGACATTTGTAGAACTGCATTTTAGTGCAACTGATGCTTATTTTTGCAGTCCCTTTGAGCACAGGTGTAGTTGCACTTTTTCCTTCCACCTTTGCTTTTAAAGGACGTATGGAGCATGTCGGGGCAGCACCAGCAGCCACTCTAGGGGCTTGGCTGCCTTCCCTCGCGGGTGTAAAGGACCAGTTCACGAGCATCGGTAGGGAGACTGTGTGCTGAGCTACTCTGTCTCATCTGTGTCTGCAACAGGCTTGGGGGTTTCTGGTTTTCAGAAGATAAATTTGGACAGCCATATGAGAACRTTGAATTAGGTCTGAATTTTCTGAAAAAGATCTGGAGGTTTTCAGAATTTAGCTTGCCCTTTGCAAAAGCTTGTGAACAGCTTGGAATTCAAAGAGTTTAATGCAGAGCTTTCACGTGGAGAAAAGTTGTACTGCTGTGCTGGGGACAAGAGCTGTTGTATACGACTCAACCCCTTTCTGTCACTTTTTCTTGCAGAAAAGCCAGTCCTGCAGAGCAGACACTCCTTAGATGGCTCTAAACTGATGGAAAAAGTGGAAACTTCACAGCCGCTTTGGATTACATTAGCCCTTCAAAAACAGAAGGGGTTTCGTGAGCAGCAGGCCACGAGGGAAGAGAGGAGACAGGCCAGGGAGGCGAAGCAAGCAGAGAAGCTGGCCAAGGAGAACGTGAGCAATCTTGATAAACTGACGCCGCAGAAAGGGGGGTGGCGGGGCAGCCATCGGCCGGTGCAGCAGCACGAGGGTCACCTGCCACAAGGGCCTTCAGAGCCAAGTGACCACGATGCTGAACCTCAGCACCCGGGGAGAACTGCTGGAATGTTGAGTTACAGGTGAACATGGCTGGGGTTTATTAGAACTTGCATTATTACCATCAAGTGGATGAAGAAATGTCACATGTAGTACTCAAAGGTTTCATGCTTGAAACGGGCACTGAATCCAGCATTTCTCCTTTGTTGTTTTATAAATAGGTATTTACTGTAATTTGGGTTTTTCTGTTGCTGAACTAAGCAAAACGCTTCTCCCTGCAGTACAGAAGTGGGGCTATATAAGCAGTGCAGCTGTGTGTAGATACCACATCTGTAGATACCAGAAACTGTGTGGGTAACTGATAATTGAGTGTCTCTTCTGAGACCCAAACATCTGAATGACCAGGCATGATTAGAGACATAGAGCGGTGCATGAGGTGCGAGGTGCCCGACCATACGTGTTGTTCTTCAGGGCTCTTTAGCAGGTAGCACTGGCTCAAAATATTCAGTATTTTAATGGAAGCACAGCTTGATAAATATAGTTTTGCTGCGTTTTCTTTTGCCAACTTTTGAGTAACAATTAGTTTTTGGAGTGTCAGGCTTTGATTCCTCGCCTAAAGGAGGGCTCAGGGAGGGGCAGCGACGTCTCCCCTTCGCCCTTCTCACCTAACAATCCTCCTTCTCCGCTCCAGGCTGCTCTGAGTAGTCAGTCCGACAGCAAAAGCAGCAGCAAAGGGAGCACCCTGCAGAAACCCGCACCCCAGGAAGGGGAGAAGAAACTGGAGACGGCTGTGTCGAGGCTGGAAAGGAGGGAGCAGCTCAAGAAGTCCAACACGCTTCCAACTTCAGTGACAGGTACGGCGGGAAGGCGCATCCCCGCGGGGGCTGTGCRCTCAGCAGTAGCACCCTGTGGTTTGGGGGAAGCCAGCGGGTCCCTTCTTGCGTCCCATACACCCCCCTGCACATTGCAAACACGTCTGCGTTTGCTCTTCTGGGAGAAGCGTACAGCCAGCCACTGAGCAAGTGTTTGTAAAGCTTCCTTGACGGCCAGTGCAGGCAGCGGCCGAGTTTGGAGGCACCAGYGCAGCCGTCGGGACTGTCACTCGTGCCCGGGACAGGGCAACGCTCTGGCCTGGCAGCTCCCCGCGAGCAGAGCCTGGAACGGCGTCGCACGGTGGATGCTGATGCTTCTGTAGGGAACGCGGCCCCTCGGCTCCTGCCTGGAGTGCCTGTTGGTGCAGCTGGGTCCACAGTGTAGCTGCCTCCCAATACTTGTGTTTTACTTGGAGACTGCACAAACACAGCACATACATGTGTAATGGAAATGCTGATTTGGTCTCCTACGGTTAGGTCTAGGACTTGATTCACATCCTCAGGTTGGCTGAGCCCTAGTCTAAGGACCAAAAAGGTTCAAACAAGACCCCCCCAGGTCCGGGAGAAAAGTTGGTGTATTTCAGACCTGCRCCCCAGCCTCACACAACAGGACTTGATAAGAAGGTAGAGCCACAGCAAGTGGTTGTTGACAGCAACAATTGCTGGTGCTCTTCATTTGCTTCTTACRGATAAAACTAAGTCATTAAAGCTGTATTAAAAAGAAAAATAAATGATTTCCATGATCCATGCAAGATTAAAACTTCATAAAGCATCCCAAACCTGCAGAATGATGCTACTAAAAATAGCTTGTCTGAATCTGAGCACTTAAAGTTCTTTGGTGAATAAAAKAAAACAGTCTGTTTATTTTTTGAATTAGGCTTTTTAGAGTAAAATCTCTAGGTCTCAGGTTGCCTTCAATGGCATCCACTGCCTCAGAATTGAATAATCTTCCCCTCTGACTCCTACAATGTCCATCTCCAGCTCTGCTTATAGAGTTGAAGCCCATGTTTTATTCATCACGTTTCTTTACCGAGACAGCTAATGGGATGATTTGGAGAACAGAATCAAAGGTGAGATTTAACAAAAAGGGTTGGAAATGAGTATCAAGGGTTAGTTTTCTGTGAAGCTCTATCACATCTGCAGGGCCTACATGCAGTATCTGGATACAGTCTCCAGCTAATGTCTGTTTCCTCCCCCTCCCGCATGAAAACCCAGTGGAAATTTCGGATTCGGTTCCCTCGACGCCGCTGGCGAAGGAGGTGGCCAAGAGATTCTCGACGCCCGAAGCCAACCCTGTGTCCACGGAACCGGCGTGGCTGGCGCTGGCCAAGAGGAAAGCGAAGGCCTGGAGTGACTGTCCGCAGATCATCAAGTAGCGGCAGCTCCGCGGCCGCCGCTCGCGCGCGACGGGTCACGGGCCTCAGTTCCCTTCCGCTTCCTASCCAGGGCAGCGCCGCCCGCGCGCCGACACCGACCGAGACCCTGCGACCCTTTGGCTCCAGCTCCCTGTACAGTCTACTCAAACCATATCGTCCTTTCCTTCGGCAAGTAGCTAAATGAGGTCAAGGCAATTTATTTCAGAGCCAAACTCTCAAAAATTGAAGACTGCTCAGATGCTGGTGTAAATTTTAGCCATTCTAACAATAAGGGCCAGAACTTCTGTTCAGAAGCTCTTGAAATTCTGGGAGAATTTGGCTCTGGAACTTTCAATCTCTACCCATCAAGGGGAGATCTTAGAAAAGCCTTTCAAAACTCTGTTGTTGACAAGTGATGCAAGATGCATGCTCCCTTTTTCCCAATTTATTTTTAATTGTTAAGCTGTATCAACTGTTAGTTCTACTTGCTAGTTGAGAGTTTCTTCCTTAAGGAAGAACTTCAGGAGACCTTTCCACCTGCAAATGCTAAGAAAGAAGATGGTAGCATCCAAATCCAAGAATTTACCTACTGTATTTTGTGCTAGCTTTAATACACTGGAGCTGTATTCCCTCCATGTTAGGAAGAAAACAGTTCTCCCTGCCTAACAAAAACTACTGTTTAAACAACCCCCAAAAGTCTCCAGAAGGAAGCCGGGGACAGAGTGTTCCTCCTAGTCCTGTGAGTGCACGACCTGCTCAGCCCTATTAAGGCGGGCAGAGCTGCTGCTTACCAGTGAGAATGGTTAAAGCAATTGTAAGGAACTAAAATAAGCTCCAGCTCAGCCAAACACTGCACTGCTTTTACAACCAAAATAGAAGGGGTCGCGCCCTCCCACTTACAAAAAGGATAAAGTCCATCATGCAGTGAAACTTTTTCTATCCTTAACAGCCCCAAAGAGCTATGTTTATCATTTAAAAAGCCACCCTAGCAAATAAATCCTTAACACACCCAAGTTTGAATTTTACAGGGATGTCTTTTCAGGAGGGACGTTCAAATTCATTAGCCATAGGGCTTAGAGAGTCTTAAAGTCTGTGGCACTACAAAGGGGAGATCATTTAAGGAGAGGAAATTGTATCATTATGACCTGTTACCACATGGGTTTTACAGAAATGTTTTAGCCAAATACTGCTGTGAGCAGCATGAAGAGAAGCCCTTAAATTAAAGTAGAAAAGTGAATTAAATGTGCAATATCCTCCCCTTCCTTGACTGCAAGGAGGGCTGGAGACACAAGCTGAGGCAGCGCAGGGCCCGCCGCCACGCTGGGAGGGAGGGAGGGGGTCCCGCTCACACCAGCACCGCCCCCACGGGCCGGCCCCAACACGCTCCCCTGCGCTTCCTCTCTTAAGTGATCGTTTTTGAGAGAAGTTTTGTACTGAAAAGCAGAGTCTTCAAAATACCTACTTTCCCCCTTACTGTAAATACATCTTTTAAAGTTTTTATACAATAGGGGCAATGCTGCTCCCAGATACTTGAAAAAAAGTGCTTACCACCTTCCAAGTAAAATCTCTGCAAACATACCTGAAGGAGGAGCTGGAGCCATCATTATTTTTGTTCTGCTAGCACCAAGACTTAGCACTTCCTAAGTTATCTGCGTTTACAAGCCTGCACTACAGGGCTGTAATTACAAGACCTAAACTGCCTGAAATCCATCTCCAGCATTCCCCCAGGAAAGGGGAAGAAAAGGAGTCAGGCAGAATTATGGAGAAGGTGAAATAAGTCAGGATTAAGGAACCTAAAGAGAGAGAGGCACCATAGCATAACGAGGTGCTGTTGCGCATGCCAGTTTCCAGACACGCTACCCTTCTAGCACATAGACTAGAGTTTTCAGGAAGAGTGGTCTGAATCTGGAGCGTCAAAGCAGAGTTTCCTTAAGCGTGGGGGTATCTAGTGCGACAGGGGAGCCCGTCTTACGCGCGGCCCACGGTGGCAGCGGTTCCTGGGGTACATGTTCAGCAGTGACATTTCATGTTCAATTACTGCACATTTGCACTACGTACCAAGGAAGTGTTACTTTGCTTTAGCTTTGCAACCATGGCTGATACGAGTGGTGGAAATCTGTAAAAATCATTACTACTGACTTTAAAAGAGCAAAAATGTTTTAAGAACCGAACAAACCACTATGTAGTATATTGTCTCAACCTTTTGTAACTTATACACAYAGAATACCATTTCTTCTGACAAGGTTATATATGATTAACCTCTATGTTCATATAGTAATGTATAAAAACTATAAGATGTAAAATTGTGGGGTATTTGTTGTGTACTTTTTTAATTTTTAAAATGTTTTAAAGTGCAATTGTTTATTATACTAATGTCATTTTAATTCTTATTAAACTATAACCCAGTCAAAAAATATCTAATTCATGATGTATGTATTCAGTGTCTCTGATTCTTAGTCGTAGAGCTCAGTTTTACTTTATAAATAGGACTTTATTTCTGCAACCCTCTTGACACTGCCTTTCCACTAAAAATGCGTAACAAGACCTGCTGAAACAAACCCTTTACTGTTGTTCAGGATTTTAAAACCCAAGGCAGGGATAAAATAGCTTCTACCACACATTTGGACATCACRATGATGCTTAGTTAAGCACTCTTGCTTTATCATTAATAAGAAGTAGCATCACTCTTACTAAGGTGTTGAGGACAACAAGCAGGCTGTGGCCTCACAGGTCAAGTGACAGGAGAGGCTCAGCAAGAGGCCTGGTTACCTTGCCAGAGGAGCAATCCGTGCTCCAACCAGGCGCCTGTTGAGTGGGACTGCAGCGCAGGGCGCAGGCGCAGCTGCAGCGTGGGACACAGACATCCCTCCCTCTTCCCAAGGCGGAGCGCAGCACTGTCCCACAACCCTCGCCGTTCTCCAAGYGCTGGAATTCAGTTGGACTGACTTCTGTTTTCCTGCCACACAGGTCAAAGCAAAACCTTAAACTCCAAGCCCTGTGAAACACCAGGACTTTGGTGAATCTGAGCTTGCAAGGGAGGGAGGAGCAGTGAAACCCTGGGGGGCTGCTGAGCAGTCGTAGTCCTTCAGTCAGCACAGCAAGTCAGTAAACATCACTTTTCCTACTGGAAAAAACACCTGACTTTTTTTGTACCTACCTGGTGCAAAAATGCTACCTGAGAAGAACAAAGAGCCTCCGTCACTGACAGGCAGAGAGGCAGGAAGAACCTGTGAGTTCTTAATTTACAAATGTAAACAATAAAAAGGAAGCAGCCTAACTTCTTAGCTCTGCTTTTCTTCCTGTTGTGTACAAATCTAGGCAATAAACATAATCATTTCTACAGCCAACAACAAGCTTTGTTCCCCACACTACAGGGGAAGAGAAAATCTCTCCTGGGAGCTTATCTGCTCCTTCTGCTGTTCCGCTCTTGGCATTCAGGATCCACACTTTGCCATCTGTAGACACTGCTGCCAAAAGAATTTTGTTCTTTAAGTCATCACTTTGGAAAACAAATGGTGTTCCGTATACACTTGAAGTGGCTTCAAATTTCCACAGTAAATTACCCTCCATATTACAGCAGTAGATAAAGCAGTCATGAGAGCCAAAAAATACTTCTTGCTTAGTTAAACTTGAGATGCATGGAGAGGAAAACACCGGTCCGTTAGTGGAAAACTGCCAAACCTACGGAAAGGACATAACCATCCATTAGTGCAGACATCATCGGGCTCACAGCAACTGTAATTTTTTTTTTTTTTTTTTTTTTTTTAAACAGATGAGTGGTTGACAGGACAGCACACTGTCTCAAGATTGGATTTCCTTAGGAATCTCTCTTATATTCCAAATTAAGCTTTATGCATCCAGTAAATAATTACTGCTAGAAGACTCATAAAAATTGTTGTACAAGAGTAACTACCTTCTTGTGTGGCTCTCCTTGGAAAAAGAATTATTGTGAGGCTAACAGGACAGAGCAGGTAGTGGCCTTTGGCATTTGGGCCATGAGTCCGTCAGCTGCAGCTCTGCCACCGGGGGGAGGCTGCTCTCGTGCAGGAGCTGTCACCCCACGCTGCTGTGTGGGTAGCCCCCGGACCAGGGCACTTTGCTTTCAGAAAAGGCTCTGGCGTCACCCCGAGTCCTGCAGCTCACGCAAACAGAAATCAGCTCCAGTTGAAACAAAAACATCGCATTTAATTCAAGGTGATGGCTGACACATCTCTGCCATGGCATTATTTGATAAACGGATAAGTATGCTAATAAAATCTTAAATCCAAATAGCATTTTATAGAGGAAATGATTTCCAACATATTTGAGAAATTTGARAAAATAAGTTTTATCTGTTGGCATAAGTCTTGAACATTTATTTAGGGTACAGGCAAGCTCTTCATGCTTTCTGCAAAAAAAACCCTAAAACTCTCTTTAAATAAACAATTCTACAAAAATAAACACCTACAGCTGTGTTTGGGTCACAAAATGGTGCAAATAGTGAAGCAGTTTCATCACTAAGTCTCAGAAAACAGTATTAATGAAGTATCTTATCCAAGGTTTTGTGATGCACATAAGAAAAAACTAAGTGCCAACTTTTACCTTTTCTCCAGAATGAGTCAAACAATATAAGTTTCCATCCACACATCCAACGTAAACATACTTCTCATTGCAGTGAGGYGAGGAGAAAAGTGGTTTTCCCAGGGAGCTTTTCCAAGTCTTGTTTCCTGTAGCCTGTGGATGACAGCACAGAACATCCCATRTTTAATTCCCAAGAAGCCACGCAGTCTTTTGCCACAGCCCTGTCCAGCCCCTCAGCAATTCCCCCTCCAAAACAACAAGCTCCCAGGCTCTCCCATGCAGAATGCTTGCCAGAGCCAAGCTTACTCTAAGAAAGTGCTCACAGTGTTCCCCGAGATATACGTGTCCTTGTTCCACCCTTCTCCTGGGTGGAACCAATTCTTTGGCAAAAARAGCCAAGTGAATAAAAATCCACTTCCCAAGATAATAATGCAGTTTTGAGAGAGACAGAGTCATTTTCAGTTCTATCAGCTGGACAATCTCCTCACAAGCGCAGACAGCCAACAAAGGAGAGGAGATTGTGAAAGTCGTACTAATGGGGCACATCTTGTATTACAAATGCTACAGGAAATGCTGCAGTCTACACACTRTGAGCATCCCAATAAGCTCCTAACACAGCCAAGTGTTACAAACACTCACCTGGRATAAGAAAACATGGGTTTTCTTACTGCAGGCTCCTGCTTAGCTTTGTTCTAACGCTGGACTGGGTGCTATAATGGTGGACTGGGTGCTACTGAGGAAAGTGGGAGTGGGTGGAAGGTGCTGATGATGAGAACTGGTGGTCAGGGTTGTGTGACCTGAACTGCAAACATCTGTTCCAAGTGACTATTGTTTTTATTAGGATTTTTTTCTGTATTCTGAAATACAGGAATTATTAAACTGACATGGTGTGTAATAATAGTGTGCAATAATATGACATTAAGTGAAAAAGACCTTGCGCTTGCATGCGATTCGCTCGTTTTGTTAATCAGGAAATTGCTCAACTTCAGAAATGCATTTTGGCTTAATATGAGTTTTAGATTGTGACATGAAGGTACATACAGGGTTTATAGCCAACAGCAGTCCTCCTAGTGTAGCAACATAAAGATGATAGGGGAAAAAGCTTAGGCAAGGAGATGAAAACACAGCTCCACCTTCACAATGGGTCTTCCATATACAAGCCTTTTTCTGTAAGCACAGAGAAAAAGATACAGAAAAGGTTTTACAAATGCAGTTAAAGCTCTAAGAGTTTGCAAGGGTCTTCTAGTAACACACTCTATCAAACAGAAGTTTGCACAGCAAACACTAGTGACAAGGCAAGACAAAACTCACCATCTATTACATCAGCACATATATCATTGGCTAGTTTATTCCCCAACAATTACAAGTAATTAAACCAGTGAACTTACAAGCTAACGAGCTTATAATGATAATCATCTAGACTTTTAARATGTGAGATTCTCTTTCCACCATGGCCTCATCACCAACCTATTCTGCAATACCCACATGTAACCCAGTAATAGACAGACACGCGGGGCAGCTTAGAACAGCCCGGGCAGCAGGAGAGCCATGGCTGGGACCACC